CCTTTCCTTCCTTCCCAGCACCTGTCGCCAAGTCAAGTTCCTTGTGTGTCTAAAATGCTTGGTAATAAAGCTCTTTCTGATGTCTGACTTTATTATTATTATTATTATTATTATTATTATACCATTTGCTGTGTTTCATGGTGAAGTTTACATTAAGTGCACACAGTCTTGTATTTTTTATATAAATTTTTTTTTCTCCTTCAGAACAAACATTTTAATGTTGTGATTCATCTCAAAGTTGATTTTGTTTTGTTAGCCTTAACATTCTATATTGAGGTCTTTTGTTTAAAATCCCTATAGAGAAAATGAATGGGGAAAATAATTCTAGAACTACTGTCCTTGTTGTGCTCCATTATTTAATCAAAGACCGGTTCCTTTGTTATTGTTGTTGCAAGTAAAGTGCAGTGTATCTTAGGGTGTGGTATATAAAACAAAATCCCTTGCCTAACCCTGACAGAATGTCTCCTAAATGGAAGCTTTTGCCGAGGAAGCTGGTTGCACTTCCTCTTTCTTAAGCATTTAGTTTGGAAAAGTAACATACTTGCAGTTTCTATGTTGTTAACTATTAATATAATAAAATCACAGTTGACAGCTCTTTAATATTTAAATTGCTTCTCCCATACAAGTTTTGCACAAGTCTCTTGCATCTCAGATGTTTTTCCTGAAGGGAAAAAAGAGCCACCAAGTGTTACTGAGATGAATGGGAATGCTAATGAACAGCTTTCTGTTATTTAGCCTTTCAGTTAATCTCAGTGGCACTTGCTTGGCTGGTGCCTCTCAGAATTTGAAATCTTCCAACTTTAGTACTCAGTGCTCAGCATGGCTCATGTGCACTCAGTTCTGCTTCTATTTTTTTTTCTGAGCCAAGCACATGAGCAGTAAATGTTATGTGAGTAATGATGCTAGAGCTGCAGGAAAATTACATAATGACAACTAACGGCATCACAAGAATACAAAAGAATACAAACAGTGGCAAGCCCTTCAGTGTGAGGTCAGTAGCAGACGGAAAAATAGAAGTACATTTCATGCTGTTAGGGGAATATATATATATATATATATATATATATATATATATATATATGTATATGTAAAACTGAATATGTAAATATATGTTTTATAAACATTATAACACAAATATAGTCATATAGTCAGATCATTTGAATGACTCAATGCTCTTTGCACTCAGATGGTGTAATTACCACATCTACCATCAGGGGCTAACTGGACCATTCTAAAGGCAAACTGTGACATGGAAAAACTCTCTAGTAATCTCAAATGTACAGTATCTCCTAAGAAGAACTAATAACTCTTTGTCAAGATGCCAATGTCTGTACAAAACTGAGATTTCAATTTTAACTAAAACATTTTAATCAAAATTCTCCCAAAGCTCCTCTAACTGAACTATCTAAACTACTGTATCTTAATTTCAACAAAACAGTTGATACTTACAAGAAACACAATTAAGAACTCCAGTAAGCCTCTTGTATTTTTAAAGCCTCCTGATATCATTTTCTTTTGGGTAAGGTTTTATATTAAATAATACAATAGCCAATTCAAAGCTGTTGAAAGGACAGTTTGCCCCTTGTACACTGTATAATAATTTCTTGCTTTCTGGCTTCTCTGTCAGAGGGGGAGGGATCTATCCAGGAGGTAGGAGGAGCCATGGTTAGTCAAATATGCTGATAACACCGGCTTGTAAAGTCCTCCACAGCACAGCTGCCTCTCTCGCCTCTTCAATGCTCACAGCACAGAATGCCCCTGAGGCTACTGCTGACGGAGACAACAAGACAGAGCAGCAAGGAAGGGGGTGGGCCAGGAAACAGACCCTTGGATGAAGCAAGTCTGACTTACTTTTGCACTGTCACACTCAGAGAGAGCTGCATGCTGTCTACAGGTGCTCTACAATCACTGGACAATCTGTGGGACTCAGAACAAAGAAGGCTAATTTAAAGGATACTTCAAGACTTGTCTGGGAAGAATTTGGGATTGCTTTAATGAGTATTTTGGACAAAGACATTTGTTTTTCCTCAATGGGATATACTAGGAGTGTATTCTAACAGAACTACTCCTTTTGACTGCTTTTGGATGTTATTTCTGAAGTCGAACCAGAGGAAAGGACTGTGTGAATTGAAACTTTGGAGTGAGTAGCTTCTAAGCTTGGGGCAACAATCTTGTGGGGTGGCTAGGTAAAGGACAGGAGGAAGGGGGAGGGGAAGAGGTAGTCGGGGTCTGGCTCCAGTCTCTGGGGTGAAATGCCTTCAACATGAGGCTTTGTTGAAGAATGCCACAGAGGAGTGTTTGATCGCTTCAGTTTTGAACTGCCAACAGAAAAAAAAAAAAAAAAAGAAAAAAAAAAAAAAATAAAAACATTAAAGAGATCTATGTGCCCTTGAAGGAAAGTCCATCTTGTGGTTGGAAGCAATCTGTCTGCTTCACATGCTTTGTTTTGCCCTGTTGGATTGTGGATTGAGGAAAATCATTTTATTGTGTAGTCTTGCCTAACTACCACCCCATAGTGCTCCTTTGTTTCTTTCTGAGATGTACAACACCACTGTTCAGATGGAGGCTTTGACCCAGATATGGGCTGGCAGTGCCAGCAACAAAAATTCCTCTCTGCAGCTACACAACAACACCCACTGCCCAAAGAATGACAACTTCAAATATCCACTCTACAGCATAGTGTTTAGCATTGTCTTCATGGTGGGACTCATCACCAATGTTGCAGCCATGTACATTTTTACTTGTTCACTGAAACTGCGGAATGAGACCACCACATATATGATGAATCTTGTTGTTTCTGACTTATTATTTGTGCTCACACTCCCTTTGAGGGTGTTTTACTTCATCCAGCAGAACTGGCCATTCGGCAGCCTGCTCTGCCAGCTCTCTGTCTCACTCTTTTACACCAACATGTATGGGAGCATCCTGTTTCTAACATGCATCAGCGTGGACCGCTTCCTCGCCATCGTACACCCCTTCCGTTCAAGGGGTCTCCGGACCAAACGCAATGCCAAAATTGTATGTGCTGCTGTTTGGGTTCTGGTGCTTTCTGGAAGTCTTCCGACAGGCTTCATGCTGAACAGTACTAACAAGCAAAATAACAACACGATAGCCTGCTTTGAGAACTTCTCCTCAAATCAGTGGAAAAGTCATCTCTCAAAGGTGGTGATCTTCATAGAGACAGTGGGGTTCCTTATCCCTTTGATACTGAACGTGGTTTGCTCCGCTATGGTGCTCCACCCTTTGAGGAGGCCACAGACTGTTAGTCGGGGAGGGAAGCTGAACAAGAAAAAGATCTTGAGGATGATTATCGTCCACCTCTCCATCTTCTGCTTTTGTTTCATCCCCTACAACGTCAACCTGGTCTTCTACTCACTGGTGCGGACAAAAATCTTGGAGGGCTGCACAGTAGAATCAGTGGTTCGGACAATCTATCCAATCGCTTTGTGTATTGCTGTGTCCAACTGCTGTTTTGACCCCATCGTCTACTATTTCACCTCAGAGACAATACAAAACTCCATTAAGAGGAAATCTCAGATGAACCGTTCCTTTGATGTCAAGTTCTCTGAGGCTTTGCAGTCAGAGACGAGCTCTTCTCTTCAGTTCAGCCTGAGGTCCATAAAGAACAAGATGTTCCACAATGAGTCTAATGTATAAGGACAAGTATTGGACAAATGGATGTAAAGAAACTGAATGCACAAAAAGCACTCTGCAGTGGATGAAATGTGGCATAAACATGCAAATATGCCCTAATTTGGTTTGTTAATATCTCTCAAGGCAGTAAGTAAACTACGTTCTTTTAGAGGGATTTACCTCCCTCTTAAAGTCATCCTTCAGCACTGTACTGGGGGGCACACTTGTTCTCAATGGAATTATATCCAAACATTTGGAATACTTAACTGTGGAGTAAGAATAATGCAAATATACTGTAAATCAACTGGAACTTGATTAAACTAGACCAGAACCTCTAACTATATGTGAATGTATATGTGAATGTGAATGTGAAAATAACATACATAACCTCTATTTAATGAAACCCACACACAAAATAGAATGATACCATTTTATGCAATGCCACATGTAAACACATTGACTGCCTGAAGTGTCATACTATTAACAAGCTGAAAACTTTTGTTGGCACTTATATAATACTGTATATTATCTTTGCACTGACATTGACACTGTAATAATGCACAGTATTTTCCTGTTACAAACTTCATTTGATAATGAAGTTTTACAATTGTAGGTAGAGGTGTTTATTTACAATAGATTATTATCAGTTCTTCTCCCTGTGTAATGTCCATTAAAAAAGTACAATATAGTCTGCAATACTGCAGTTGCAAAGTTTAAATGTCATATTTAAATATTCAGCAGTTACTGTTTAAACTGATACTATCTATATGCCCCCTTAAATGTACTGCCACATTGATATAAAAGATGAAGTTCTCTCTGTGTTGTTAATTATTTTATTTGTCTAATATTGACAAAGAACAGTCCCTTGACTAAATGCATTGTAAGAAGATTGTTTTAACCACTCAAAGTGTCATTAACGGAATAGTGAATCAGATGTACTTTATTCACTTTGATACAAGCCGCATTCTAGAACCAACTGTGCTTTTTCAAAATTTGTTTTTTCTGCGTTGTTATAAATATGTAATCTGCTGCAGGCCAAACTAAAGTGAGGTTTGGGGTAAATGAGGTTGAGAAATATCTTTGTAACCACGTAATTTGTGACATGACAGCACAGCACTAGATTTGGCAGGAACCGTTAACACACACAATCCTGACCAAAATTCTCGATTCTAAACATGCCTGTAAAAGTCTGCATAAAGGTGTTGCTATATCTGTAAAGGGAGATCCAGAGCTCTTAAGCTATTGGCACAACTGATACATCAGATCACCCACACCCATTGTGTTGCCATGCCACCCACAGTTAATCTATTTTAGCACGTGAAAAACAAAGAAAGGAGGAAATGAAAAAGACCATCAGGGGAAAAAAAGGTCTAATGAGAAGTACCGACTTCACTCTTACCCACTTCAAATACAACTGCTCGCACTTAGTCATGCAAAGCACATTAGTCTTGGTGTTTTGGCTTCAACAGCATTGAACATGATCACATTCTATGTCAATTACTATGCATGTTTGCTCCACAAAATTCAGAACAGTGGTGAATAACTTTGGGTTTTTCAATTATAGATTCTCTTAATATTATATTTGGTTACACTGATATTTTAATACTTTGTTACATCCTTGACTAAACAAACTCATCCTACATATTACCAACATACCAACATATTATTGGCACAGTTTCCAAAACGGTAAAAAAGTTACATATAGTCTAGAGTCCCTGAACCTAGTTGGTCCACCAATTACTAATTAAGATTACATTTTGTATTTAAGATTGTATTAGACAATTAAACATTTTGGCAAGAAAATTGCCCATGCTAACACTGTTTGAATGCATTTTAAATAAATCTTTAGGTGATTAGCTAAAGCAAAGAGCTAAATATGGAAAACATCCTCAATGAGTTAGTTAGTTAGTTAGTTAGTTCCCAAGTATCAAACTGAAATCTCTTTTATTTTCACTTCCTTAAGCTCCTCTTGTTTAGGCACGCATGTAGGTGAATTTCATAAAAACATTGTTCCGATTACTTTTTTTTTTTACCAAATCAATCAATCAATCAAAAAAATAAACAATAAAAAATGTTTGGCATAAGACAAATTTTGTAAGGCAGATTTTAAGTAAGATTTAATTTTTGCATTGTAACATGTTTTCATGCAATTATTCAAATTTAATCTCCAAGGTTTAATTACCATGATGTGAAAAATCACACTGTAATCCATCCAATTTTAAATATTTTTTTGGTAATAAAATAAAGTTTACTTAAATATGTCAATTGAAATGAAAATAATGTTTACAAAACAAGCTTAATTTTAAAATATGTTCCTGACAGCTGTTCTGAGACCCACCCATATGTATATTTGCATTGATGTGTATTAGTTTCACTCGCTTTTTCATGCGTTTTCTTCTCAGCAGCTTGTCATTCTGGCACTGAGGATGGAGTTGGTGTGCTTTTGATAAATACCGGATTAGATCTCCTAACTTCAAACAAGCATTACACACCGATTTTTTCCCCACCACTGCTCAGCCCTGCACAAACACAGCATCCGAAACCCAGCACGCCACCACAAGCTCCATTTCAAAGCTTCAAAAACCTCAACACAGGCTTGTTTACTTTTTCTGCACCTTTGACTGGTTCATTTCCACATGTTGTGAGAGAGAGGGGTGCATGGTCAGAGATCTGAATACAGTTTTAACTAGATTAAGACTACACATATTATTTAGTCTGTTTAGTCAGTCTGTTAGATTCTGTTCTATCTGGATTTTGTAATAATTGATAAAAATGTTTATCTTCCATTTAAAGGAAACGTTCACTCCAAAATTAAATTTCTGTCATTTAGTCAACCCAATATTAGACTTTGGAATGTTTATGCTGTTTTTCCCCATACAGTGAGGATGAGGGCAACCAAAAAGAGTAATTATATGAATGTATATCTGCATATGTATGTATATATCTTTTTCTGCACCTTTGACTGGTTCATTTCCTCATGTTGTGAGAGAGAGGGGTGCATGGTCAGAGAACTGAATACAGTTTTAACTAGATTAAGACTACACATATTATTTAGTCTGTTTAGTCAGTCTGTTAGATTCTGTTCTATCTGGATTTTGTAATAATTGATAAAAATGTTTATCTTCCATTTAAAGGAAAAGTTCACTCCAAAATTAAATTTCTGTCATTTAGTCAACCCAATATTAGACTTTGGAATGTTTATGCTGTTTTTCCCCATACAGTGAGGATGAGGGCAACCAAAAAGAGTAATTATATGAATGTATATCTGCATATGTATGTATATATATATATATATAATAGAAATATGAGGATGTGAGATGTGTTTGTGGATTCAGTTTATACAGCTTAAACATTCTAAAGATATATATCAACAATAATCTCATCAAGTTTGGTCAGAGATTTTGGGGCAATCTTTGACAATAAGCTGACCTTCAAAGACCCACACTGCAAGGACACCACGATCATGCAGGTTTGAATTGCACAAGGTTAAGAAACTGATGTTTGCATATAGAACAGCTGCAGTCTCCGCACCCATCTACGTACCACTCAGCCTTATGAGTACTTCCCCTTCAGAAGGCTTACGCCAGTAAATGAGTGATGCCTCATGGTACCATTAGACAGGCACAAAATCAATCAACCAGAACATTTTTGTTCGCTGTTTCTTGTTGGTGGAATTATCTAACCAACCCAATCTGGGACAGAAAATCACCGGACAATATTAAATAAACATCTATTCCGTCAGAAAAAAAAAAAATCTTATCTCATCAAGTTTGGTCAGAGATTTTGGGGCAATCTTTGACAATAAGCTGACCTTCAAAGACCACACTGCAAGGACACCACGATCATGCAGGTTTGAATTGCACAAGGTTAAGAAACTGATGTTTGAATATAGAACAGCTGCAGTCTCCGCACCCATCTACGTACCACTCAGCCTTATGAGTACTTCCCCTTCAGAAGGCTTACGCCAGTAAATGAGTGATGCCTCATGGTACCATTAGACAGGCACAAAATCAATCAACCAGAACATTTTTGTTCGCTGTTTCTTGTTGGTGGAATTATCTAACCAACCCAATCTGGGACAGAAAATCACCGGACAATATTAAATAAACATCTATTCCGTCAGAAAAAAAAAAAAATCTTCCTCTATGCTTTCACTATACTTTAATTCTAAACGATGTCTGAAACTTTGTATCACTAGCACTTCTCTTGTTTACTGCCTGACTATGATGAATCGCTTGCCGTATTCCTCATTTAGAAGTTGCTTTGAATAAAAAATCTGCAAAACGAATAAACGTAAATATAAATACATATTGTATATACTTTTGCATTATATTCCTCATAGTCTTCTTAAGTCATACAATAGCTTGTGTCAGGGAACAAATTCATATCAATATTCAGTGAATGTAGGAGGCATCTTGATTCTCCATTATTTGAATGTATGCAAACATGAGTGTTAGATTTTAAGGATTATGTATTAAGTATTATGGTGTTTTCTGTCCTTTTTTTTTGGTAATTTTTCATGTTGTATCCCTAGAACACGAGACTGCAAAGAAGGAAAAGGTCATAAAAAAAAAAAGAGGCTAGTGTATATTTGTGAGTGACCTTCTGGCCTTTCAACATGTGAGCACCACATTACAAGAGATGCTGTGAAGCACAGCAATTGTCAAGAAAATAGCTCAGCCATCGTAACTGTTCACAAATCTTGGTGTTTTTATTTTCCTTTGTCTTTAAATTGGAGATTAGCATGTTTATTGACATGTACTCATGGTGAAACAGAACAGCTGAACAAGCAAAGCAGGAATCTGCAGAAGTTATTGATAGAATCCTCAAGGCTGCAAGATTAGGTTTCCCCCATCACCCCTGACCCCATTTCGACAGCACATGTGACAGGAACTGCTCTCAAAATTGACTCAGGCATGCTAACCCAAAACGAAACTTGCCTTGAAGGCTTGTTTCCTGATTTGAAGCGTTGTGTTTTTTTCTATCAGGCTGTTGACTGTTCTGACACAGTCACTATTGCTAGCAGTATTCGTTGTATAAAAGCCCATAAAAAAATTTATACATCATTTTATTTTAGTTCATTTTAAGTAAACTAAAAGAGTTCAGTTCAAGTATATTTGTCAAGTATACTTTATGTAGTAAATATACTAATATCAATGTATAGCAGTATATTTTTATGTGTACTCTTTCAATACTTCTTGGGACTAAATTGTCATCACTTTTAGTTTATTAAAGTATCAATTAAGTGCAACAAAAGTAACATTTAGGTACACAGCTAGTTTACGTCTAAGTGTTTTCTTTAGTATAGCAACTATACAATAAGTGAACTTTTGGTATACTGTTAGTTTATTATATTTATATTTTTATCCGAATTTTTAGTTCATGAAAGTAGTCTCAGTAAACTACTAGTTTTATATTTATATGGTCTGTTAAACTGGTAGTTTCCAGAAAGTATTATTCAAAATGTACTTCCATAAACTAAATAAATGAGTTAGAAGTATAATAACTAGTAAACAGTATACCTATAATTTCACTTGCAATAGTTGCAATAATAAAGAAAAAGATAGAAACTAGTTTCCTTACTCAAAGTTTATATAGTCCGCTGCGTTCTCAAAACTCTGGCCATTTGATAATACCTAGAATATCAAAATCAACTGCGGGCCGCAGATCCTTTTCCTATTTAGCGCCCAAACTCT